CGTCATATTTTGATTTTGTAAGAATCCGAAATCACTTGAAAAATGAAAATGAAAGTTTTATTCAACTTCATGAATATGCGAAGGAAGGAAAGGTGCGTTAAAAACCAGAACCTGATTAAACATTTTTGGCAGGTTTCAGATTCTTCAAAAATCCCGGAACTACTTTCAACTTATAGACAGTACTTTGCCCCCTAACCTTCAGAGATTTAATTGCTTCTTACATTTTGGAAGATTCCAGCACATGTGATGTAGTACTTTAGCCTATCAGATACAGTCCTCTTGACTCTATTCTGCTGGATTTAGAGATAATTAAGTCTAAAGAAGGTGGGTCAGAACTCACCTTCTTTCACTCCTATACACACCTACTTCTATAAAATCTCTAGTTTTATTATTAGCAGACGCTTTCAGTGTATTGCTTGCTTGTGCTTTAGAAGCACGCGGATGGCAGTTTTGACTCTTTGACATATGTTGCTATCGATCAGTTTGCCACTGGAACAAATCGTGAAAGAGTTGCTTTCCCCCACTGGCAAATCCAGGCTCTCGACTTTTATTATAAGAGCAGTGCTGCTTGGTGATTATGCACCAAACCGTCAGAGTATTCTGTTAAATATATTTAGATTACTTGTACTTTCAGGTGGCTAAAGGTCGTCAACTGTTTTATCGAAAAGAAAAGAAACTGATGTTGTTAACGGAGCGTTTTCATTTCTATCGACGTTATAACATTAAGGTCACACTTTTTCCTTCATTTTTTTGTGGTTTGGTCAAATTGTTGCTTGTTCTTCTAGTAACAATTGCTGCAGCAGCTTAAAACGTTGGCGTAAACCGTCGCTGTTGACGCTTTCACAGAAGTGAGCGAAAAAAAAGACTCGCGTGGATGCAGCCACATTTGCTGACTTACTGGGTTCTCATATTCATGCAGCAGAAAATATTTTTATGAATCAGCGTAGCCCATAAAGTTAAGATACCCACATAAATTCAGGTTAATCTTAAAACGTAGAACAAATGTTAATTCTAAATCAAAAGTGAAAGTCCATTCCGCATTCAGTTTTTTTGAAAAACGGAGGCATTCGGGAAGTAGGCCGGATGGTAGCAAATGCCAGCCGTGACCACTCGCTGGCAAGTCCTCCATTTTGCTCAGAAGCAAGTTGATGGCGAGTTTGACTTCCTTTTCCGTAATTCATTATCTAATTTCACCCAACATTAAAATTTAAGAATTTCGGCCGTTCCACATTTTCCATGGTTGGGACTGACTGCTACTTCAGAGCTGCAGAAAATTTTTTTATCAATTTAGCCCGTTTCGGCTGTTCCACTTGGACCGTACACTTCTGATTCGGCCTTCAAATGGCCGTTACTTATCATTCCTAACATGCGCCAGCACCAATTTACTATCGAAACGAATAAACGAACCGTAAAGGGATTGTTGTCCTGCGACGTACTCGAATTTTCGAACTACCACGCAACAAAAGTGCAGCGTTCCAGTGCGTCATACCCATCTGCGAATTCAGGGAGAAAACGCTAAGTAGATTTAGAAAACCGTTGAGAATAAAATTCTTGTTTTGATGGGCAATTTTTCTTTGATTCGTTAATGGTAATCTCGAAAGTTTCTTCCTTTTACAGGGCATAAAGTCAGTTGTATTTTATCAGCCTCCAGCGCAGCCCACATTTTACCACGAACTAATCAATTTGGTAGTGAGCGAATGCGTATATGTTCGATTGCTATATACAAAACTAGATTTCCTACGTTTAGCCAATATATTTGGTGACCAATGTGCCCAAAAAATCATCGCGTCCCAAAAAGCAGTCCACGTTATCGTAAGTCGGTAAAACTGTTTATGTGTTATTGAAATAATAAAAACTTGTTTCCTCCTCTGCATTTTGAACGACCGATTACCAACAGTGGTGCGAAAAAATACTTTGAAGGCAAACCGATCAACTCTTTCATGTTTCGCTGGACAAAATGATTCTTCTAATGCAGTTGATGTTCACTGTAGTATGAAGAGGAGATAAGAGATCAATGTAAACGTCACGTCCAGCGGAGACATGCTGGGAAGCAGTCTGTGTTTCATTCCTTAGCTGTAAATGCCCAGATCGAACACAGCGTGCGAGTAGGAGTGGGAATCATCGATGTACAGCCTTCTATCCGCCATGTTTATGATGAAATAATGCTTTTTTTTTTTGCAAAAATCATGAAATGTGCTATGATGAAACGGCAACTGATCAAAGTGCCACAACTAAATGAAGAGGGGTAGATGGCTTTTCCGGTTGTTTCGTTTTTCATATCCTGCTTCACAGTGAAGACAAAAAAAAAA